TTTGCTTTCATCTCAAGATCCTGAAGAAGGATATATAATAGTTAGAGTTGGTATTTTCAACTTCTCATTCAGCTACAAAAGAATTTTTTCTATCTATGCTCATACTCAATCGCGTGGATCACAATTAAATTCCCAATTTTTTTCAAAAATTCCGGTTTGCTTAGAAAAAACTTTAGATAAAGATTCTGTAGCCGGAAGAGTCACCTACAGACTACATCACTCAGTTTTCAAAAATGCTGTTATATCAATACTGATATTACTCTCTCAGTAGTATCCTCATTGTCTTTATCCTTTCTTCGTGCCCTTCTCATTTTCTGTATTGTTCTGTCCTATGTTCATCTCTGTTCTATATAAACTTGTGTTGAATGTTAGATAGTTACAGTATAAAGATATGAAGTAACTTAATAAACATCATTACGAAGATGACAGTGCGACTACTTCTGCAGTTTGTCGTTACAGCTGTCTTAATTCACAATTCTTTTCTTAATCGAAACCTATGCAATGAACATCAATGTTCTTTTTTGAGTCAAGTCATTAACATTCGTTTTTCAGGCATAATTGCTCTAAACAAAAACCTTTAGGACAATTATTTTCAGAGTATCTAGAGTGACTTATCATGCGTATGATAGATAAAAATTAGCTTTAGAATAGTTCATTATTCAGAAATAAACGTATTTTAATTACATAAAGTCACGTCACTAACGGATAAAATTGACCATGAATATTAATTCACTATATAATTAAATTGCTGTGTCAATCCGCTTTAAACTAATGTTAGATACAAAAAAACTACAAATAATTCTTAAATTTCTTATTGAGAGAAGTTTGTTCTACATTGGCTAATACAATGATTTACGGATGCAAAACATCCAAAGGCTTTGGATTTGATATTATTGGATTTAAATATGAATCATTTGAGATTAAATCCAAATCTAATCCTAGGGCCCTTGGACACAATTTGCAAAGTTGTTCTAGATTTGTTGCAGCTCTAGGATGACTTGTTTCTATTTCTTTTAGTTCATAAGATGAAATCTATAATTCTTATTACAATTCATTTTTAAAGTTTTCATTGTCTTCAACAGCAATCCAAATTTCATCGATTTCCATAAAAATATCAATAGAAAAAAAAAACAAATAAGCAGGAAGAGTCGGAAGAATAGAATGCGTTGAACAATAGAATGAATTATTTTGCTTTATCAGTGAAACACTGCATAAATCGATAATTGTGATGATGAACATTAAATCTAAAACGAAGATGGATATATGATCTATAAAAATATTTAAAATAAATTATTTTATGAGTAGTCTTTGCAGTAATTTATGTTTATTTCAATTAATTTCACTAATAAAAAAATACTAAATAAAAGTTTCTTTGACATATTTACTTAAAACAGAACAGTCAGGTCAATATTAGAAAGATTTTCATTGGTTGTACATCAACCATTTTATTTAAACATGTTCTTATTTTTATTGTGATAAACTTAACATTGACTGTCACGACTCCCACAGATATAACGTAAAAGAATTTTTTTTCTTGTCACAAAACTTTTTCATCGTAACCAAAAGCAAATAATTATAGAGGGAAATTTTATATTAAATAAGAATCGAAAAGTGATTCAAGTTTGTTCCAGCAGTCGAATGTTTAAAAACTGATGAAGGTAAGATTTTTTTTTACTAATACTGATGTCAGTTAATAAAAAGCCAATAAAACTACAGAATAAAAAAGTAGCAGTCTTTTTTTCAAATGATTTAGATATGTTCAAGGTCAATTACAATATTGATTAAAAAAAGATTTTATGAATTTACTTCATCAACGAAACCATCAATAATGTCTCATTCAATTATCATTAATACAAATTATACTTCCAAAACCATTCCCGTATAGTCTGTTAATGAATTAAATTTATAATGTAAGAATTAGTTACTTAGCAAATGAGACTAAATTCATTTAATATCGACATCTGAAAATATTCATTAAACAAAAGCAAACATTCGTCTTAAATGTAAAGCTTTATAATCAACGTACTAGTCAACTAATTCATTCTTTGAATTTATGATTGATTGTATAATGATTTGTAAGAGCTCATGTCAAATATGACTCATTTCGGTAAGAATTGGCACATTAATGGCTATAGTTGATTTCGCATCGTTCTCTTCTGTTATTTCCATTTTCTAATCCTTTACGTTACTTAGTTCTATTAGTCCATTTATTCCCTCTAATCTTTAAATCACCATAGTCATTGCACAAATATAGGACTAGAAGTATACACACAAATATGACTAGAATGAGTTGATCAAAACAAACAAACAGCAGGAGATCTATATGAATCATAGCCTAGAAAAGAATGAATAAGAAGAAATATAAATCGACAACTTGAAAAAAAGTGACAGAAAAGATATAGATCGAGATCATTATAATTTTTTTATAAGTTTTCAAGATACCAATTTGATAAGAACATAAATGATTGATAAATTACATTGGTAATTAATCAACATTTTTTATTGTTATTATTTGCCTTATTTATCTAGACAAATATATTTTATGACTTTGTGAAAAATATTGGCAAGGACAATATAATATCACTACTTAATGAATATCACAATAATCAAGATAATGTTTAAACATATGAGGAAACTGGTGAAAATCTATGAAGATGTATCCATGAAGTTTCACCAGGACCATTCGGCGATCATGCTCAAATTCAGTGAAAATTTCAAGATTTCTAGAGCTTTTTGTGCTGATTATTTTGGTCATCAAATTTTTATATTTGGCCGGTATTTTTAGGAAAAAACGGGTCAGATGCTATTGATACATTTTTCAATAAATTAAAGTCACATTTTTATCGAAATGTCGATCATAGTCCATGATTATCCATTCAGATTTTAAAATCAATTACATATTTAGATTTCTCTTAAAAACCTACAATAGAAACCTTGGGAATCTAAAAACTTTTCATGCATTTTTATACTACTGACTGATCCGCAGGTAGAGGAGCGATGTACGAAAAAATCGATCAGAAAGTTGAAATGAAGGAGAAGGATGGTCTTGCCAATTCGATAGAGCGCAGTTTGCTCTACAACATGCACTAGTTAGTTTTCTTTCTACCTATGATTTTGGAATGAACGACTGTCAAGACTGTTTTAGGCCACAATTTTTCAACAAATTCTGGTGAATATATCAGTGAGATTCAGTCAGATGGCTTGTTAACCATTTCGAAATTCACTGAGATTTGTAAGAACGTGCTGACATGATGATTTTAGTACTAAATTATCCAATATTCGATTTTATTTTCACGAAAAAACAAGTCGAATAATATCAGTGTGTATTATGTTCATTTAATTATTATACATTAAGAAAATCAATGCAGTTTTCTTGAAAAGAAGGGAATAGTACCATATTGTTTATTTAAGCTAGAAACCTACTTATATTAGAGTCGAGCATTGGATAATTTAGTACTAAAATCATCATGTCAACACGTTCTTACAAATCTCAGTGAATTTCGAAATGGTTAACAAGCCATCTGACTAAATCTCACTGATATATTCACCAGAATTTGTTGAAAAACTGTGGCCTAAAACAGTCTTGATAGTCGTTCATTCCAAAATCATAGGTAGAAAGAAAACTAACTAGTGCATGTTGTAGAGCAAAATACGCACTATCGAATTGGCAAGACCATCCTTCTCCTTCTTTCCAACTTTCTGATCGATTTTTTCGTACATCGTTCCTATACTTTGCAAACAAATGAGTAGTATAAAACTGCGTGAAAAAGTTTTAGATTCCCAAGGTTTCTATTGCAGGTTTTTAAGAGAAATCTAAATATGTAATTGATTTTAAAATCTGAATGGATAATCATGGACTATGATCGACATTTCGATAAAAATATGACTTTAATTTATTGAAAAATGTATCAATAGCATCTGACCCGTTTTTCCCTAAAAATACCGGCCAAATATAAAAATTTGATAATCAACATGATCAGCACAAAAAGTTCTAGAAACCATGAAAGTTTCACTGAATTTGGACATGATCGCCGAATGGTCCTGACGAAATCTCATGAACACATTCTTGAACAAGGTTTAAAAGAAAATCATGATTATTGCATATTTTTAAGAACACAAATAATCGTCTACGATAAACAATGACTGATATAAACTCATGAAAAGAAAGCAACTAATGAAGATATTACAAGTAATAGTATTTAAGAAGATAGAATAAAAAAGCTTTAGTTAAAACGTAAACCTTAACAAACATAGTCTAACAAAAAGAATCTCAGTAAAATCATAATATTTTTTGTCTCTTAAAAACACATCGCGTTTAAAGGAGATGGAAATATATTCTATTATGGGTGTGTCACATATGTTTTTTCTGAATACCGTAATAAATGATAGATTCTTGACTTCGATAAGAGAAACGCAATAACTAAGTTTGAAGGCAAAGTTTGAGGTTGACTCAACTTCTATTCAAATGAATACTTCGAAACATTTTGTACCTTAATCATTCGTCATAATAAACTCGTATAATATTTACAGATTACTTTGAATTCAATACAATCACTAAAGGTTTTTTCAACGTATAAGAGTCAGATTAACGTTAAATTAATTTTTATTGATACATTCTTATTATCAACCGACTATATCAATTCATTTCTTTACATTAGAACAACGTGTAAACTATTTTTGCTATGCTTGATTGCATTCTTTAGTGTATAGCGAGAGAAAGAATGAATATCATTTCGTGCTTTTTTCATTTTTATCTTGTTCTAGATAATTTTTTCTCAAGGTATTAGTGACAGAATCGTTTGTTTTGTTAAATACAAAAAAAATTAGAAAAAGTACTACTATACATATAATTCAACTTATTCCAAAAAACAGCTATCCATCATGGCACACAAGGTAAGTAAGGACCCTTAACAGTAAAACAAGGAAATGAATTTCTTATTTCAATGAATTTTCTTTTCATAAAAGTTCAAGTTTATCTTTTTTTTTATTAGGAAAATCAAATGATTATTGAAATGAAAGGTAGTGACTGTCTTTTGAATGATCAACCTTCTAACACATGTGAGGGTTTTTTTTAATATATTAATACTTTTTCTTTTGTTTAATACTCTAGTTCTTTTTTGTCATAACTAATGAATAGTTGAAAAAAAAAAGATGCCAAAAAAAAGAAGAGTTTAAGTAAATAATCTGTCAAAATTTTTTTGTCTATGTGCATTTGAATGACTATGTTTTTATTTTTATTTTTATGTGATATTGCATGAATATACATAATTTATTGAATATTTCAATTGAATAAATTTTCTTTTATTTTAAGTGCCAAATTCTACATCAAATGGATCATCATCTCCAGTCTCACATCATTCGAGTACTTTTATGAAACCAATTAGTCTAGTTGCATTAACATTACAAAATGCTTTGAGCATATTATTACTACGTTATGTACGTACAATACCAGGACCACGTTTTATAAATTCAACCGCAGTTATTGTTTCCGAAGTTCAAAAAACGATTCTAAGCATATGTTTAGTTATTAGTGAAGAACGTAATATTCTTGCAGCTTTTAAATTAATGTATCATAAAATCATGCGTCAACCTTATGATACATTCAAAACTGGAATACCAGCTTTACTTTATACACTGCAAAATAATCTTCTTTTTGTTGCCATTTCAAATTTAGATGCTGCTACATTTCAGGTAATTTTGTGACATATGATCTGAAAGGAGTTTTGAAGTTTAGAAGTCAAAATTTGAACCTCTCACGGATCATCATAGATGCCAATCAGAGATAACGACAGATCGTGCCAGACATTGTTGATTTATGATTCGACAACTTTTTGGTATTTTTATTTTTTTGAGAAATATTGGTATTTTTCAATAAATTCCGTTTTGTACGTCGACATCAACCAAAAGAGACTTGACTGAAGGTTGACTCTTTAGAATTATGGTTCTTTTTCAATACAATTAATATGTATTATATACTATCAGTCGATAAGTCCAAATAAATCCGGTGATATAAATAAATCTAAAAAAAATAGATCATGTTAGTTCCTGATATAATCAAAGATCGTATATCCTTAATGTTTCGTTCTAATATATGAACTAAGTACTTCGTTATTGCATTTCTAGAGAATTAAATAAAACGATGGTGAAGAAATCTAACGTAAAATAGATAGAAGAAACCAATGCACCTGCATCATGCTTCGCATTTTAATACCGGAGATATTGGTCTAACAGCTTTCCCATTAAAAAGTCCCATTTTTATTTTTTTTTTTATACTAGCAAAAGAATAAAATTTTCTAGAAGACAATGATATAATTAAATAGTTTTTGTTTGTTTAGGTTAGTTATCAATTAAAAATTTTTACAACAGCTATTTTAATGGTAGTTATACTTCGTCGTCAATTAATTTTTGTTCAATGGCTTGCATTATTTCTTCTTTTTATTGGTATTTCTCTTGTACAAGTTGAAAATATGACATCGACAACACCAAAACAAGATGTTAATGGTGCATATGGATTACTTGCTGTTGTAGCTGCTTGTAAATTGTTTTAGAAAAATTTCCAAAATAGATATTGAAAATGAGTAATATGTTTTTTTTAAATTACACTCTAGGTACATTAAGTGGTTTAGCTGGTGTTTATTTTGAAAAGATTCTTAAAGGTAGTGATGTATCGGTATGGATACGTAATATTCAATTAGGTGTATTTGGAATTATTGTTGGCACTATAACAATGTATTTATCCGATGGTGCAGCAGTAAAAGAAAAAGGATTTTTCTATGGTTATACAAATATGGTATGGGTAGCTACACTTGTTCATTCTGTTGGTGGTCTTATTGTTGCATTAGTTGTTAAACATGCCGATAATATATTAAAAGGTTTTGCAACATCATCAGCTATTATACTTTCATGTATTGTTAGTATGATATTATTTGATTTTCACTTAACATTATTATTTACATTGGGTGCAAGTTTAGTTATATTTTCAATATTTCTCTATTCAAAACCAGAATTAATTTTATATGTACCGATTGTAAATGTTTTTCTTAAAGATCGATCAGTATTATTTTGAAATTAATTATTATCAATCATGAAGTAGACAAATAAAATTATGACTTTACGTCTTTACTTCAGATAGTTAAATGTTAGAACAATATGTGTTCTCTTTTCTCCTCATTTATAAGTATCTCAAATGTGATAAAAATTCTTGCAAAAAATTAAACAAAAAAATATCATTCCATTTTTGATTATGAACGCCTGAATGTTTCTTTTTCTGATTGATCTAAGTGTGTGATTGGCCTTGTCTTCACTAGAAAATTTAATACCGAATTAAGAAACGTGATTGATCGATAAGTTAATACACATTTAATACAGTTTTGAAAAGTGTATTAACTTACAAGTGAAGACGCACATCATTTTAATGCGAACTTAATACCATATTATTTTTCTAGTGTAGACAAGGCCATTGTGTGTATTTCATTGTTTCTTCTTTTTTTCGTTCACATCACATGTACACGCTTCGTAATGTTTTATTTATATTGCTTTCTATTGACTATTATTGATGACATTTTTAAACATGGTCTATTGTCTATTGTTGAATACTTTTCTTTGTTCTTGTTTAAAGTCAACGGACGAATATTCAGGTATCAAAACAAAAATGTGAAAAGTTTAAAATTTATTGAGAAAATAAATAATATGGAATTTCATAAATATTTTACAATGAGTCTTGAATATGAAATGATATAAAATAAGTTTTTTTTTTCGAGAGTTTTCAAAATCTTCAAGAGTAGAGACCAGCGGGTCTGTCCAGACCCGGACCCGGACCCGGGTCTAGACCCGGTCGGGTCCGGGTCCGGGTACAGAAAATTAATGTCACCCGGATCCGGGTCCGGGTCTAGAAACTTGATATCACCCGGGTCCGGGTCCGAGTCCGGGTCCGGGTTTGAAATTTATGGCCCCGACGGGCTCTACTCCTCGCTCATTCTCNCGTTTCAAAAAACGACAGCAGCAAAACGCATTCTATCGAAGTAAGAATGCTGTGAAACGCGTCCTGTATTGTAAAAACGTTGCGAAACGCATGCTGCAATCTCAGAAACGCGTTACGCAGTCCGTTTCCTTGAATATTTTACTCCATGGGTAGTGCTGGCGATGGTAGTGGTGTAACTGATCGTGTCATTAATCAAATTTTAACTGAAATGGATGGTATAGATGCAAAGAAGAATGTTTTTATTATTGGTGCCACCAATCGACCGGATATTATCGATTCAGCTATTCTTCGACCAGGCAAAGAAATAAATCTCCATATCACTAGTCAAAACATAAAAATATTTATCTAATGACCATAAAAAATATTGATAGACAATCGGTTTTTCATAAACTGTTTACCTTACGTTTCAACAGCCGATGGAATATATGAGGAAATAATTCAGGGATGGCTACCAAATCAGCAACTGGTATAGGATATTCGAAGTTTGAATCGTAAAAACATGATGTTTAGAGTTTATTGTATATTGTCCATACAGTATTTTATCCAGGTTTTTTCTTCCAGAGGTACGATTTGAACCGCCAAGGGATAGATGCATAGTGTGTGACGCAATAATCACTATCTCCGGAGGAGTGTCACGCCTCACTAGATAAAACACTGTTCATACAATGTCAATGAGTAATTTCTAGTGAATTGAATATCTAAAAAATTCCACTGTCTTCCTGAATGAAATATTATTTTATTTATTTAGGTCGTCTTGATCAATTAATTTATATTCCATTATCGAATGACGAATCACGTATGGCTATTCTAAAAACTTCTTTAAGAAAATCATCTGTAGCTAAAGATGTTAATATGGATTACTTGACTATTGTAACCGAAGGTTTTAGTGGTGCTGATTTAACAAAAATTTGTCAACGAGCTTGTATATTAGCTACAAGAGAATCCATTGAAAAAAAACAACAACGTATCCGTTCAACAACAATGGATTCTGATGAACCAGCCCCAGTACCAGAAATTCGTCGTGATCATTTTGATGAAGCTATGAAATTTGCTCGACGATCAGTTAGTGATAAAGATATAAGTGAATATGAAATATTTGCTACAAAATTACAACGAGATTTTCAAGGTTTTCCAACAGAATAATGGACATTTTTTATTTTTATTTTTAAAATAAATATTAAAAAAAAAAACTTGATTATCTACTAAAGAACTATGATCGTACAATGAATTGATAGCCATGATAATAGTTATATCAAGATCACGAATATAAAGATAATCAAGTGCTAATCGATCAAATCGTCGATTGACATCCACAACTGAATAAAGAACATCAACCATATTGAGTTTATGAAAAATGATAGATAAAATTTCATCCGGTATATCAAGTATATTGAGATAATTGTTGTTTAAATTGTTCATGTCTAATTCATACAATATATTCATGTCAATCTATATGAATTTTCTCATTGCCGTGTCTACCAAAACAATGACAAATAAATATCGATGCCATCATATTATTCTATGATCAAAGTAATAAACAGACAAGACTAATTCAAAGTGAACTAACCAAAGAAATTGGCATTGTTAGGTAGAAAAGTGTCAATTATGTTTCTTAATTCATTTTGAATTAGTTCAATCTGTTTGTCCACCGAATATATGAAAAGGTATTTTTCTGTTTGTCTAATAATTTCTGCTATAATTTCTTAGTGATGATGCATCGATCATCGTCTTATTCTCTTGTCAAACAAAAAATTTCTCATGTATCGTGGTTCTTATAACACACAATATTACATTTAGAATAAAATAAAATATATGAATTAGACATCAGAAGTCTACTCACAAATTATCAAAGATTTCATTGAATATAACCTTATCATTGTTTTTATTTAGTTAAACTGAAAAAGTGAATATTATTAAAATGTTAGAAGCACAGAGTGTGGTTAGTTTGGTACAAATCTAGAGATCTGTTGAAGTCTAAATTGAAAATATCTCGATAAGAAAAGTGTAATGAAAACTCGTAATAATTATATGTTCTATTAGTTTTGAATGAATTCTCTTAGATAGAATATATCAATGACATAAGATAATTAATAGAAAGATGAAATAGTTTGACATTCGTTGACCTTATAGTATATTAAAAACGCGCAGCAAGTTAAAGATGTTATATTTTTCTGCTAGTATATTTTGAAGTAATTTCATTTCGTTCAAAACCATAAGAAGATGAGTCTGATTCCAAGAAAGGTAGTCTATGTTAACTGAGACGGATAACAACTCCATATCGCGTATACATAAAATCCAATTATTGAAATTGTTTTGAACTTTAGATCGAATGCAATCAGAAATTAATGTTGATTTATTCTTTAATTTGAGTTAGATTGAAAAAGTAAGGACTATTTTTACATTTAAAATGAAATAAAATCTTTTTTTGTCTTCAAACAATTGCGGAAGGAACATTTTCATTTTACATATAACTCTGCAGCATCACAAAATGTTGTGTGATTTTTTTTTATAAAATGAGAAACGATCATTAATAGTTGATATTTGTTTATATTTGAAAAATATCATTAGCCTATAAATACAATATTTATCATGCTTTTCAGTTTATTGAATAAATCAAAATGAGAATACATCCACTTATACAACGAAGGAAAATAAAGGAAAAAATCTTTCGAATATACCAATGATCCTAGCGGAAATATTCGTTTCACCTTAGCACAATTGCGTCGTGTTTCTTCTCTTGTAAAGTCTTTTGTTACAGCTTTTAAATGATCAACAGAGACTTCAAATTCCGTCAGACAAGGTATGAATGCCTTTGTTTCATTTAGAAATTGTTCAACATAATCTCTATGTGCATATTGGACATCAAGTATAGTCAGATGGGGATATTCAATAATTGAGTGTAATTGACAATTGTCAGATGAAAATGTGATAAGACCATCTAATACCTGTGCTTCTACATTAAAAATACGTAAATGCTTCAGTAACGGAAACGATTGGGCAATTCGCATGAAGAATTCATGTTCGAATGGATCCGTATCTTGCACAAGTAAATACGTAACATAACTGAATAGAATATTTCGAAATTTATTGCCAAGATTTTTGAGATAATCAAATTGAAAAGGAAGTGAGAAAATTGAGCATGCAGCTCTGTGACTATGAATATAATTGACCATACTCATGGCATGTTGTTGTCCAATATTTGTTAATGTTTGTTGAATATCTTCACTAGATAATTTGTAGAATAAATCAACCGTTTCCACATAAGTACAAATATAGAAAATGAATGAATGAAGTTGTAGCATATAATCCAAAATATCATGTTGAACATAAGTACCATCAATAGCTCTATTTCGACCTTTTATAGAAAGATATAAAGTTAATTTTTCCAGATTTAACATACGACGAAGAAGTGATACAATTTTATCATATTGTTTAAATCGAAAGAACGATTTTAATGAGAAACATTTTAGATTAAATAATTTATCCTAGAAAAAGAAAGAAATGTTTTTTTTATAATCTACAAGATAAAGTCATAGGCATCATTATTTTACACATGGTGTATGATCTATGTTCTATCTGTAAATGACCACAAATGACAAATCTATTAGTTTGATTTTCTCATTTTACAGTATAACAAACGAGTGTTCAAAGAACAATTAAAGTTTGAGACAAACTTCCAATCATATCTCAATTATTGGAAAAATTGTTATTATAGAAAAATTTTCGTTCCATTCTATGCTGATGATCATTGACATATGATAATATTTAATCAATCATGAAACAGAGCAGTCTACTTTTCAATGTGAAACTTATCCGATAAAATATTATATAATTATAATTTCTAGCAACAAATTTTATTGATTCTTTTATTAAATTCAAATTTTAAGTAAATACAAATTTAATGTCGATGATTTTGATATGTTCATCAACACTTATCAGTTTTTTCCCCTTGTCAACATGAAACTTAACCATTCGATCTCTTATTTGGATTTTTTTGGAGATCAATCGTTAGCTGCATTAAAATAGTAATAGTCTTTATGTCATAAATAAAATTATTTGTAAAAACTTACCATATTGTGAACAATTCTTGAATACTCGTCTATAGAATAGACATTAACACACAATGTTGTCAATTTTCTAAGTCGACCATCAAGTAAATAAAGACAATCATCAAAAGTTTTCACATTGATATATAAATGAGTAAGAATCGGAGATGAAAAAGTAGTCGATGGCAAATAACGAAGTGATAAACCTGGATACATTGATATAGGATATGGTCCCATGATACTTAATTCTTTTAAATTTTTGAAGAAGATCAATATGTGACTATATACGTTTGTAGTATAATTTTCCAATGAATGTATCATTTCGTCTTTATCATCATTGATAAGAGTAAGGTTTGTAATTTGTTCTTGAAAACTAGATCGAAGTGATGATACATCTAAAAGAGAAAAGAATGAAATGAAACATATTGTAGTTTATTCTATTGAAAACTTTTATTATTTCTCAACTAATCAAATTCATATTAAATGGTTACTTGTAAGATAATCTAAAGCGATGCCTTGTTTGAAATGAAAAATTTTAAGTTTAGTTAGATTCGGATAGTCAGTGGCAAGAAGAATATGTTTCATACAAAATGGATGAAAAATAAAACATTTCACATTATGATGAATTCTTGGGAATATATCGATGCAGAATCGATCGATTAAAGAATAATGATAAATGCGGGGAAACTTCAGAATGTTGGTGAAAGTGCTTTCTTGTGCAAGAAGGTTAAGTCGTCCATTATTAACATCCAATAAAGAATAAAGTACATCAATATTGTTCAACTTCTTCAAAATCATAAGTAATATTTCATCAGGTAAATCGAGAAGATGAACATTTGATCGGTTCATATTTTATTATGACTGTGATGCTTTTCACTACGACAGAGCTATATATACCTATATTGTTCATTGTTTGCATCTCACCATTTTGACCTCAAACAGACTGAAAAAAATAAAACGAAATAACCAACGTGACTGGTCTATTCCAAGTTAAATCATCTTTTTTAGACAATTTATTCGTCAATTTAGTCTTAATTCGTTTTATTTTTTTCATTCTGTTTGGGCGTTTTGCGCCATTGTCAAATTGAATAGGTCAACTTTTTCACAAACGTAAAACATTGATGTATTGTTCGATCATAGTCATTCATTGTTGTGTGCATTTTCGAAGGGTGTGGGTGTGGGTGTGGGTGTGGGTGCGTGGTGTGCGTGTGGGTGCGGGTGTGGGTATGGGTGTGTGTGGATGTGGGTGTGCGTGCGGGTGTTGTTACTAGCTATGATTCACAGCCACACCCCACGCCCACACCCACCCACAACCACACCCATCCACGCCCTTCGAAAATGCACACAACAATGAATGACTATGATCGAACAATACATCAATGTTTTACGTTTGTGAAAAAGTTGACCTATTCAATTTGACAATGGCGCAAAACGCCCAAACAGAATGNGGCAGAATGACGACAAATTATAATTAAAAATTTGATGTGTTCGAAAAGCTTGAACGACCACACAATTGAAAGCCGGTAGAAGAGCCGATGTAGCTGATAGTGTGGTCCATGTGATCTTTAGTCTCACTCATCACATGAACGTCACTTTTTCTATGCAGATTGACCTTTTCCAGAGGGGATAGCGATCATAAACAGAGTAGCAAACCCTTATCTTCTAAAATATCGAACGAGTACACCATCCAAATCTCCTGACAAAAAACAAATGAACCCCATAGTATCGCGTCATGCGGAAACTTCGCGTAGCTCGATTACTATGAAATCTTAGGTAAAGAAGTACTGTTTTATTCAAAGTAATAACAGTGATGAAGGATTGCACGTTGCAAACGAACTACGTGTAGCTGATACCGAAGGCCATTACACCGATAAAATGCAGCAGCTGCTAACCTAAGATTTCATACTGTACAAGTTGCACAAACTTTTTGGACAATGTAACATACCAAAGAGATTCGGAAGCTGTCATGGAAAACTCGCGACTAGTGTGTGAATGAGAAAGAGGACGACGCCATCCAATGTTGTTGTCGGAAGGGTACCGGGTAGAGTGTAGGTGTAGGTTTAGGTGTGAGTGTACATGTGGTGAATCTATGGCTCG